AGCAAAAACGTTAGAATGGGATGAACTTACATGGTCTCTGAAGCCATAATCTTGTATCGTCGATGCATTCGCTGTCCGATTTCATTTCATGAATAAAAAAAAATACAACAGCTCTGTTGAAATATAGATATCAAATGATTAAATGAAAGCCCGAAATATTGAAAAGACCTAAAGACAACACGTGATTTCAACGCGGAACGTAAAAGAACGCGAAAACAAAGCTCCGGTAGTGGCCGGTGCAGCACAAAACGCGGAGGAAGGGCGAGAAACTGAAGGGCGGCTATGGCGCCAGGGTCACGTGACGTCAAGATGGCGGCGTTCATGAAATGTTGCCTGAAAGGGTCTATAAAACATGACCTCCCGAGACTCTTGACAGTCTTCTGAGGAACACTGAGGCAGTATGTGATAAATTATGTATTAAGTGTGTAACTACAGCCACATTCGGCCAGTGACTGGCTGGAAGTCAATGGCCAGTGGCTGGCCAAACGTGAATGGCCAGTGACTGGCCAAAGGTGAATGGCAAGTCACTGGCCTAAAGTGAATAGCTAGTCACGGGCCAAATGTGAATGGCCAGTCACTGGCCAAAGGTGAATGGCCGGTCTTTGGCCTAAAGTGAATGGCCAGCCACTGGACAATCACTTTAGGCCAGTCACTGGCCTAAAGTGAATGGCCAGCGACTGGCATAAAGTGAATGGCAAGTCACCAGACGAGGACGAAAACACTTCTATTGCCGAGCACTTTGGCCAAGCTTGGGCCATCGAAAAACTGGTTGGCCATAGTACACTTGCCAGCGATGGCCCATTCACAACGTGCTGCTTGGGAGCTTCTTTAAAATCCTTTTTGCATTCGATATCAGGACCGTACCCGGAAAACCGGCAGCCATCAAGCGTTCCAACTGCTCCTTCAGACCTGAAAGCATCCCATGATAACACGACCTTCTGATGACGTTCACAAAGCGCAAATTTACAGTTCCTCTCTTAACGAGTTTCGAATGGGATGAACTGAACGGCAACAGGGGCTCATTTGCTCTCGATTGGTATTTCCAACACACATGTTCCTCCGAAAAGGTGAGCCTGATATCTAAAAAGGGTATGACGTTATTCACATTTGCCAAGTGCGTAAGCTTGAGAGGATCTAGGACGGTAATAGAAACTGTTAAAAGACTGTTCGCCGCAGAGGGAAAGTGAGAAACATCATGGTCAAGAAAAACTAAATAATCATCGACATATCTAAAAACCTTGCTACCATGAAAGTCATTCAGGTGTTCCGAGAGGACTCTGTCATGATGGGCTCAAAATATATCGCTCGAAATCGGAGCTAAACACGATCCAATACACACCCCTCGCTTCAGAGTATACGCACCTTTGTTGCACTCAAAAAAGGTCGAGTTTAGATAAATTGTGAGCAATTCGAGAAAGTCATCGACGGCCATTCTTGCTGCATTCTGAAACGCCACTACCCTGCGTTTATGGACGCTTTCCCCATACGCAGGTCACTAGTTTGTCGTGCGGTAGCGAACAGTATAAATCCTTTATGTCTAGTGAACAGGCTTGGACGCCTTTGTCCGCGTTTGTCTTTAAAAAATCTACAACTTCATCCGAGCTTTTGAGCAAAAACGGGTCGTCAATACAAATAGCTCCCAGTTTATCTTGCAGAAATAATTAATGCTATCGATTTCGAACATGTGCCTCTCTCCGGAACTACTTACATATTTATTTATTTTGAATACCCTCAGGGCCCATGGGGCATTAAGGAGGGGGTGGGTACATGGAGTAAATACATCAACACTGGTACATTATGCAGTAAAAAAAAATTACCCCCAATGGAAAACCAACTATGTGCGTCTTAGCGCTGAACATCATCTGTAGGCACTTCCCTTTGGTTTTGTCAATACTCTGTGACAACCTGTCTAATTTTAACCTCTTGCACGATGTTTTCCCGTCCGCCTTTGGCTTAGTTAACGACACCTAAAGCTGATTGAAAACTTACGATATAGCCTCAAAGGCCTTACTCCCAAATTCGGTTTGTGTTAACACCACAAGCCCTCCTTCCTTGTCGGCGGGAATGATAGGCAATTTGCTCTCTTTTACAGAGCCGGAATTCGGGGCCTCGGGGGTTCGGTATTGTTCCTAGATAGCCCGTCCATCCCTCCGAGACACAACGTTCGAATTCGCCGTCTGGTGCACACCTGAAGACTTGGTGGACCAGGCCCAAAAGTTCTGGAGCATTATCCTCGCTTCAACCGCAACCTTTGGCCCTAGAGCAAGAACTCGCCGTATATTTTCGGGAAGCTGCACTTCACTCACTGATCTGATGTCACACTTGGCCACTGGACGTCGCTTGGGCAGGGTGGCACGTAAACGATGCAACGATTATTGCCAGAGGAACTGTGTGGTCTTATCCACGATGCCAAACAAGTCCCTGATACGTCTGTTGTCCCGCAGGGGCTTGCTGGGGTCTCAAAGAACTGTACACAGTAAGCCTCTGTACATACGCGCTTGTTGCTGCCATTCCTATCGTAGAATCTTTAGTATTCTGTGCCATGTCCTGCTGATGGCTTGAAGTTTCCAAAAAGCTGTTTTACCTTTGCCGGCAAGCGTCTGCAGCGAATGCCAAACGATAACGTGCGAGCCTGGCAGGTGGCATTTGTAATGAGCGAAGCCCTTACGCAAGGGTCCAACGAAGAACACAAAAAAGGGCCTTATGTGCTAGATTCAAAGTAGAGTAATGCGGATTGTTGGTGGAGTTGGTGCTGAAACTTTGAGAACATGATAGCGCTTCAAGACAGGGGAGAGTGTAGGAACGAGAAAACACAATGCTCTAAACTTAACTGTGTCCAGCTTTAACATTGTCCAGTTTTAACCATGACTGACGTTCACAAATTTGGTCGAGTCTGCATACTATGGCGGACTTATAAATGAAATATCAGAATACAAGTTGTATCCTTATAAAACACATCAACATAGATATATTGAGGTCAGCTCTGTAAAAGGATCATGAATATCAGTACTTGTTTTCCAATTTCATCTTTGGGGGAGTTATAAACACATACAGAAATTGGTAGAGTACACGTACAAGCATGCAGTTTGCTTTAAACTTATCCTTATTAATTTTAGACAGAGTTTTAGATCTGATAATTTTCTTTTTAGTTTCCCAAACAGATTTAATAACCTATCTTCTGTAGAAGATTTTTAATCATGTTTAACCTATATTCTGTTACGACATTCTTCTTGCATTCCTTGTTTATTTTGTGGCATATTTCATCATTGAAGCTTGAATAAAATAATGAAGAATGTCCTTGCGCACTACTCAGTTGCCAATTCCAATACCTAGACGCTAACCATAACCTTACCTTAAAAATGTCTCACTTTTTACCATAAGGGGAAGAGTTTTTTCCTTCATACTCATTGAACCTTTAGAGCAGTCAGTTCACATATTACAAAACCACAGGGAGGTATGATGACGGTAAAGGAAATATTTATTTGGGCATGAGATATATTAAAAAAAAAATATCTTAGCGAAGGCATTTCTCTGAAGCATTTACACAAGTTAAGGCATATTTTATCAACGTAAAGAGGAGGTAGTCATGTTGATTACGTAACATTCTTCACAGCGAAAGCTCCAAATTTTGCAATGTTTCTGAAGACTACCATAAATGTGGTATCGGTAATTCTGGCTGGTATAGAATTGAGATATTTAATACTAAGATAATATCCCCCACAAGCTCCCTATTTAAAGATACTAGTATCTACTCAGATACCAATAGCAAAAACTACAATACTGCGCACATCTTAACGACGATGCGATTTTAAGATTTATTTTATCTTGTCAAATTAAGCGATATTTATTTCCGTCTGGGACGTGACCTGCGAGGGGTTATGCGGAGAGCAAGTCGTCTGCTTGATGCGCAGGAGTTGCGGTGACGTCCGAAAGACGCCGAGCTCTGATTGGCTATGATTGAAGGATAGTGGGTAGTCCACAAAGCAAGCTGCCTTGAAGTGAACTCATTATCCTTCATTAAGAGCCAATCAGAACTCGGCGTTCTGACGTAACTACAACCCCTGCAAAAGATGCAGACGATTTTGCGCTCCGCATTGCCTACGTATCTATTCAGGCCAAAAAATCAGAATTTGAAGGATACTGCTAAAGGGTTCGAATACTAAAACAAATATAGTAAATTCAAAAAAATGCATATTAAAAAAGTGAACTGAAGCATTCATCAACACCACTTTTTTTGTAGTTTAAGTTTCAGAACTTGTGGCTAGTGTATGATTTTTCGAAAAAAAAAAAAGTATCTTAGCAACTTTTACTTTTGGTGAGCTGGAAGGCTTTAAAATGTACATTCAAGTAGCACAGTTTGGCACAAAATTTGGTCATTGTCTGGATATTTAGTGCCTTGAAAACCTCTAACAAACAAGGTATAAGCGAACTTGGTATTCTTTAGTCTATGTCTGGGTATTTTGTGTCTATACAGCCAAAAGAGTGTCGAAGTTAGGCTTCATTACCTATTAGTTCGGTTGTCACCTGGCTTTTTTGGGTCTTTTAGATGAAATATCACAATAAGGCTTCACTTGGCCACTTTTGGCCCCAATTCATAAGCACGGGCCCGAATTAGGCTTCACCGTTGTCGTGCTGCTTGGGAGGGGTACAACTCTTATTATGTTTGTTTCGATACCGCAATCTCGTAGAGTGAAAAATCATTAAATCTTTAGTTATACTCAGGACAAAGAGTTGCTGTTCTAGAAAATACGACGTAAACTAGAATGCCGGTGTTCTTACAACTGTGGTCAGAAAACACTTAATTTTATATCCTGATTTTCAATTCATGTTGTCATATACCCCCACGAGGCTTAGTCTCTGTAGTGAGATACAAGTTGTGACTAAGACAAAGCCGTTACAACTGACAACAACGTATTTCATCTGAATTCCGACAGATGATCACTACGAAAAACACTGAAAATAATGTTTCTCACTATACAGAAAAATAATTTATTTATAAACTAGAAGTGCTTAGCAACAGCGTAGCTAAGGGGAGAATGATGGGCATAGGTGAAGGGGGTAGCGTGAACCACAGAAGCAGCATGGACAGCGCGCACTGCAAGTGGGGCTGGGTGAACAGCCTTGACGACGACCGGGTGAGGGCCCTCCATAGCGGAAGAGAAGAACGCAGCGTCGGCTGGGGCCGAGGTTTTGGTGCCGGGCTCGTTAGTCTCGATGGTCGGGTGGAATCCAGTGGCGTCGGCAACGTACTTCACGAGGCGTGTGACACCCAAGGCATCAACGTAGCTGTAGGAGCCGACCTTGTTGTTGAACTCATCTCCAGTCTCCTGACGGGTCATGCGGGTGCCGAACTCGTCGACGTTGTCAAAGCCAAAGCTGTATGGCTGTGGTGGCTGCGACATAGGAAACGAGAAACCAGTTCCTCAGTGTCTGAACGTACCCCAATCGAATGCACAGACATATATTGGTCTCTGTGGTTCAGGCATTTTGGTTGCGCGTTGATTTAATACGTGCACACACAGGTTATGAACCATACATTCTATTTTTTTATATTTTGCTTTCCTCTTTAGAACAATCAGAGCAAGCGCTAACGAAGTGCGAGTACATCATTCAATTAAAAATACCAAAGAAAGCTACTTGGTATACTATTTACTAAAAGGCAAGAGTTATTTTTTGTTTGGCGATAACAATAATTGTATTCCAAAAATATAGGTTTTACGTCACTTTGCTTCTCCTTATACAGATGTTTCAGACCCCATGGAATGTGCTCTTGAGTTACATGTTTTATGAAACTTACAATAGAATTTGAATTAGTATTTTTGTCCTTTCTTTACATTCCACAATAAAATAAACGAATAAACAGCTTTATGTCTAAGCGCATAGATTAAACAAAACATTGTGTTAAAAAGAACTTAATAAAAGTTGCAAACGACAAGGAATATTAACATTCAATCCACCATCTTATTATATGGTGAAATACCGAGGACACTAAAGTCGCCAGTTTCTAATCAGCACACTTCTTAATATATGCCTCACGCAAATAAAATGCTTAGAAATATTTTATGAAAACTACAAGAACTTTATCGTTCTGCACCGTGAACAGCTGTAGTGAAAACTATTTTCTGAAATTATGCTTTATCGGATCTTTAAAGGCACAAGGAACCTCCCCAAAAAGCATCTTTATGTGCCTGTCACGCATCTCACAAAATAAGCAAAACGACAAAAAAAAAATTTCCGTAATATTTATAGTGCCAGACACATTTCGAGGAAGGAGCGGTTTCGATACCTTGCTTTCATAACGGAACGTCGAACCCCCCCAAAACTTGCTTTGAAATGGGTTAAATTAGTGTTTTTATATCTATCGTCTTAACCAGAAACATGCATTTCTGCTTTTAGTGTGTAATAATGAAACAGGCGTGTAGCCAGGAATTGTAATTTAAAAAAACATAATATTTGATTTATTCAGGTGCTTACTCCTTTTGCGTAGTGCGGTTTTGGACTAAAAAATTACAGATTGGTTTTCGGGAACCACATTCGTCACATTAAACTCTTGGAATTCGTGAAGTGGTTTAGCTATAACACACTTAATATTTTCCTAGGACATTTATATTAAAAAAACGAGGTTCACGTTCTCGCTGACGTAAGTGAAATTTCAAGCATCTCTTATGATGAACAATCTACGTCAAAGACGATTGTTCACCCCTACACATTGTTTGCTCTAACATATAAGTGATGATCAACCGGGATAATTTTGAGCTATATTGACCATACATAGATACATTTTACTCGTTCGAAATCGTTTTCGGGTTGGCAGGTCAATATATTTGCGGCCCATCATTATTTTTATGGTTTATAATCATGTATGCTCACGTGTTCCACAACAACTCCACAAGCCACGTAGGTAAAAAGGCAGCACACGAGAACCTGTAAAAATGAAGAGCACTGTTAGCCTCATGAATTTCGTTGCAAAGGTTTAAACGTTCGATTCAATCCCAAGGCCACGGAAAATATGCTCAAACCTTAGAAAACATCTTTGATGCGTTTCTTCTTGCTTTGAAGTAAATTCTGTGGTGATCAGAGGACACATCCCGAGTTATATACCCGGCAACGAGCATTCCCGACTCGCCAAAGGGAGGTTAAGCTGTCCTCGTGAACGAATTATCGATGAGAAAAAGGGCGGGGTTCATTATATTTTGTTCTTGTTGAATGTAAAGCATTTAAATTAACTTTACATTTTACGACATCTAGACACATACCAGTGTACACGTGAAAAATAATGAGCGTTCCCCGTAGAGACTAGCAGCTCGGCTTATTTGGCAATACAAGGTCCCTCTATTTTTCCCTTAAATCGGGCATTTCGAATCGTGCGACAATTAATGCTACCGCGCATAATTCTGGGACTCTCTCGTTCAAAAATTTTAACATATACAGGTAAATAAGAAAGTGAAGTAAGAGAGGTTTAGGATTTGAGTAGGGTTACGTAATAATATCTATCAAATATGAAGCCAGAGGCATTGCTTTGTTTTCTTCTGCAATGTTATAGAAAATATTGAATTTTCGATCACTGCCTGATATGTTATTATTTAATATAAGCGTGCACAAACACCGCGGTTAAATGATAGATAAATTAACCTTACCAAGCAACCAAAATAAGGAGCATGGAGATTACTCATCGAACCAAGAAAAGTTCAATAACGAAGAGTGCACTAAATTAGTTTACCAATGCAGACACATTAAAGACCATATGAACAACGCAAACTAAATATGAATATATACTGGGAGGTGTCAACTCAGATGAAGAGTGGACGTTGCAAGTTGTATTGCGTTAGCCGCGCTATAGAACACTCTATTAGAATGTAAGTTCACAGAGACAGTCAATCATGGTGAACAGGATTATCCTGGCAATGTACGAGCCTCAGAAGATGGTTTGATCTAAAAAAATACGAGACGCGGGGACATTGCGAAAGTGAAACGCTAATTGTATTCTGAGCTTCATAATCCGTTAGAATAATTTAATTGTTTGTCGTGATTGGATGCCTTCAAGAACTCCGAGAAAGTTATTTTAGAAACATTTTTTGAGTGTGCAGTGGCACAACCTTCTTCGAAGAGAAGGCTCGTGTTTTCAAAGAAATTCCTATATACGTCGCGTTCCACCTGTTCCGAAAATACACATGGAAGCTCCATCGATGTTTCGAATTTTTGCTATTTGAATTGCCAGCATCTTGTCTCAAACAATAAACATAGAAATAAAATTTCGTGGGCCCAGTCTAAGAGATGCATCGTTCCACCAACAGCTGCAAGAACACTATAACCATTAAATGATGTATTTTAAATACGCAGTACAGTAAGGCAGGAGCCTTAGATTTTCCTAAAAGTGACTGTGGTTACTGATTTGAACCATGCCATTATATGCAATATTTGAATAGATAGTTATACGGAAATAATCAACATTAAAATATATAAAACAATTTTTTGCATTGAAGAATTCAGCACCATTTTTATGAGTAATCAATAAGACTGCATCTATTTTAAGTGCATGTTGATTGTACTCGAACGATTATTAACGTATAAATGTTTTCGTTATCTCAAGAAAGATATTTACTCTTGGTTTCGTTCGCGACGGAGTAGTCGGCCTTGAGGATAAGGCGGACGAACTCTCTTAAAGTCCATATCTTTTTGCTCCTGGTCTTATTGACACGGATCGTCATGGTCTACCATTGTATTTTATTGATGTTTTAAAAATTATATCTTTGAAATTTATTCAAATCATATTGGTTCCTGTAATACGATGTGTCGTGCTTGCAATATCTTCACCGATACACCAATTATAATCACCACTTATGCATTTTATAAGGGTTCGTCCTACGGACCGACTCTCGTGCTACACAAGAAAAAAGGTAGCAAGCACGGAAACACAAGTACGACTCAAGTAATAAAGCAGGGCACGATCTGCCGTCAAGGACACGTTAAGGGTGCCGCCGTCCTGTGAGCCACTGTTTAGGAACTCGCAATTTATCCGTTACATTCCTGTTCCGTTGGCTTGTTTGGAATGCCAATGTAAAGAGTGACAGGAATTAAACCGGGTCACGTCTGTTTTTACGTTATTAGAATCATGACGGCAGACGCCGCGTAAAATACTACACTGCAAAGACCCATGGCAGTTGAAGAAAGATTAAACACTGCTTGTGATAACATTGTACAAATGGCATTAATATATTCTATGATTAAAAACATCTTGTCTAAAACACTGACAGTTAGGAGGATCAACATCGAGGTGTAAAAAAATGCATTGACATATTTTTTTACTACAGTTAGTGCTGCGATCAGTTGCTTCAAGCCGACTGCAATGGGGCAGAGCGTGCAGTGTGTTTTGTGGAATCATAAAAGTAAATTGCCCGTTTCCGTTCGGGGGCAGCCTTTGTTGTATGCCTAGTGTGAATAAAGATACGATTGACGCCGTGCGCACCACATGGCGAGAAATGGACCATTGCTTAGATAATCTCGGGGCTAAAAACCGAACGCGTAGTACCAATATACTATAAATAAAAAAATAAAAAAAAAGACATGAAAATACTATATTTGCTTGGAATATTAGTGAATCCTTTTAACCCAAATAAAATATTCTGGGAGACGTAGGCGCCTCAGGATTACTATCTGCACAACGCGAGGGAAAGAATTGCTGAAATTGTATACAGGGTTTGAATTTATCAGAGCAGCTATTCATACATTATTTAATAAACAATATATTTGGAATTTTAATTTTGTGTAATCTACTGTATGGTTAGCAGAACCCATTCCGCGTTCTGGCAGGATCTCATACTACTGGACGCTTCACAAGATATGAATTTGTGATAAAATTTAAAACGTTATTTTTTCAGAACGGTGCTTCTTTAGATATTAGTTCTTAGTGTCTTCGGTCACTATTTATAATTATTGCGCATGCATTGACCCCATTAAATAAACCATTCTTTATTGTAAACCTCTCAACGTATTTATAGCTTTTTTAATATTTGGGTTTTCCCTTTGGGGGTACAGCGTATAAACACAGGGAGCCGTGAATCCGGAGAATAACATATTTTATTAGCGTCTCGCCACCACACTTCACCCGCCACCCAAACAAATGCAAAAGTAAAAATGTCGGCGCTGTCCTATCAAACAGACTCACATCGAGAGGCCCACGCTACCGTATAGGTCAATTCGTGGGAAGGGGGAAGCTGCAAAAAGAAAGAGGCTCCGAGGACCAGAGCCTCCCCCAGCGAGAGAGTCTCCAACTCCCGCCCCCCCCCCCCCCCCCCCCTTCTCGGGAATTTTGAGGCCGATTTATATGGCCTGCGAGAAATGCACGCGCCCGGTGTAGACGGTGTGGCTTAGTCCGCAGAAGGGGCACGTCTACATATCGCTCCCAGTGGTGTGCCAGTAACAAATTCACCCAAGAAGGGCGAGGGAGGCACCGCCCTCTTCGAGAAATGCAGCCTCTCCTCGTATCTTGATAGGGAGACGGGGAACACATGGTTCACACAAACGCAAACTACGAAAAGTTATGAATATTTATCGCATTTATGCTTATGCCATCAGCGCAATAGAGCAGTTCATAATTAGAGGCGCTAAAGAAAGCAACGGTTTCAGGCAAGTCACCATGATTGGGTGACTTTCTCCTAGTATAGATTCACCTTCCTAATATTGCATTGATACAGTTGCAAAAGCAAGGTAGGAGCAAAAAAGAAAATGGAAAGCTTATATTTATTTTAATGCATAGACATAGTTTCATACATTTTGGGACTACGTATGTCGCTGAAACAACTCGCTGCGGCATTCTTGTATACTAATGGGATAAGAGAAACATAACTGTTTTCTTTGCTACAATCATTCCGGCAGTGCTTATTCTTCTGTTCATCAGTTGCCTCATTGTAGAGCAAAATAGTCACGAAGATGAACGCGTTTCTGCCCACAGGGTCATCGTGTAGAAAGACACTTTCGGAAACCAATTTTGCGACATCTTTTTGACGCTTTCTTTCAATTAATGGTTTAAGCTATTAATTAAAAGCATGCATTGTATAATCTCAGAAATGTCAGGCAACTGAACTCCCTCAAGAAAAAACTTAGGAAGGCGAATAGCAGTAATTAACGTATATAGATCAGCGAATGGAGGGGCTGAAAATATGTATAGATCCCCCCAAAAAGGGTATGCCCTGTATACTGATCAGTGAAACGCCATGCACAGTGCCACAGCGCGGAAAGGTTTCACTTTTGTTTTTTGTTTTATCATATTTTTAGCTCCGTCAATCTTTAAGCTCTCAGGGTAGATTGCAGCGATTTAAAGTGCTTTCGTGAGAGCAGACCCTCAAGATTTTCCGTGCACTCGACCATTTTAGGAAGATTTGGGTTTAATGAGTCACGAAGGACGAGGAAGGTGATATTAAAACCGCGGGATCAATTTACATCCTTAAAAGATGGTCGTACGTGTCTGCCTACTTGGGCATGATGCCCAAGTAGGCAGACACGTACGTGTGACGTTGTCAAACAATGAAAACAAATTTGTTTGGGAAGAGCTAACAAGGTTTGATAAATGCATGCCGTTTGGGTAGCTCAAAAGGCTCAGGAACCCTTTATCAGAAGGTGCTGCCGAAGAAAATACAGACTGCTATTGCTGCTATTGCTATTGTAGAAATGAGTTATACAAATAGCATGCCTTCTGGCAACGTGCGTAAGTGTGGCCCTGTCAAACTCTGCCCTCGAATATATCATGTTTTTTTAGGAAATGTAGCATGTCGTAAAATGCCCCAGAATAGTGACTGAATATCTTACAATGAAAAAAGTACCTATAAAGTTGTAGCCAAAAGTTCAATAAAAAAACTACCTCACTAAAACCACTTAGCGGTCGACGTGGTTGCTTAAATAACCAGATATGTACGCCGTATAGGAGCAGTAAGTAAATGATTACCAAATATTGAGCAATAATACAAGATAGTATATTTCCAAGGTGTTGGAATATCTGGAAAAGCACTCAGAGGAACATATTTTACTCAGTCAGTAAGATGATTTAGTATATGCTTCGAAGTGCTTGGCAACAGCATAGGTAAGTGGGGTATGGTGGGTGTAGGCGAAGGGAGCAGCATGGACCATGCACTGGGGCAGGGTGGACGGCGCGCACTGCGACGGGGGCAGGGTGAACAGACTTCACGACAACCGGGTGTGGGCCCTCAGCAGCGGAAGAGAAGAACGGAGTGTCGGCTGGGACTGAGGCCCAGAGTGTCGAACCGAAATTTTTATCGGTTCGGTTTCGGTTCGGGTTCACGAATTTCGGTTCAGCTCCGGTTCAGTTCCGGGGACCGAAAAATAACGGTTCGAACCGGTTTGAACCGGTTCGAACCGGTTCGAACCGCTAAACTGTGAATATGTTTTCCGCGTTTCTTTGGCTATAGGCACTTTTCAAGGGTGAAACGAGTAACTATTTACCTTCTTTTTTTTTATTTGTTGAATCCACTTTTATTTTCAGGTACCAAAAATAAATTGCGTTGTTTCATTTGGATGAAACAGCAAATGAAAAGCTAGATTAACATATATGACCGAACATCTCATTCTTTTTATCTCAGTCGCATATATTTTACCTGAATCTAAAGGTTATCAGTCTGGTGTGTCGCCTAAAATGCACATGAATAGTAGACCATTGCGTCGCAATATTAAAAGTCGAGCCCTACTGTGCTCTTGTACTTAAAAAAAAAATAAATACAGTGCATACAATCATAAAATGGGCACATTCTCGCCATATAAATTCTGAAATCTAGATTATAAAATACGTTTCACAATATATATGATGACGATACAACTAAGCTAAAAGCGATAATATTTTCAAAATGTCAGGAAAGCTTTAGCACAAACCCATTCAGTCTACCTCTTATAGAACACCGAGCGGCAAGCACAACGCTTGCTTTCCTGACTAATATTGTTTTCATTCAGCACCATGACGCAGGCGAATAATTATGCAGAAAAGAGTGACCTTCGCATTCAGCACGGATCTGGCCTAAAATAGAGCGCATTGAAGTGCATATTTTCGACAGAGCTTGGCGTTTGTTGTTTGTTCTTGACAAGATGCCGGTCAATTCACTTTGTAAATAAGCATCACCTTTGCTAATTGGTGATTTGTTGTTAAATAGAACAAAGTAGTATTTCATAGTCTACGCGACATTACAGCTGCTTAATTGGTCACTTTTTGACGGTCTGCGTGCGCAATCGTCATAGTTCCGCCACGCGCCACTGTGTACTTTGTTTTCATCCAGCCCACAGACACATAAAATCGTTGTTCATCAAATAAAAGACGCAACAAACTTCTATAGGTTTGAGAAGTTGTATACTCGTCAGGAACACGTGTGATTTAAATCAGCTTCAAAATAAAAAAAAAATCGCTAAGTTATTTTTAAATAACTTATGCAAGTGCCTCTCGAGGATAAAAATGCCGGAAAAGATTTTCAGAGCATATTTCAGGGGATAATGTGTGGGTGCATTAACTTATGATGTATGTCTTTAGGGTGATTGTCCCTTTATCTATGTTGTCAAGTCTTCAGGTAGTAAATAAATATTTGCTATTGTCATCAATCAATTTGACTGAATGGAGTTCATATAACCGCTTGAGACCGACACGGGAGGATGATACTCGAAAATAGCCATCCGTTGAGTCTGCGGAACGGGCTTATTTGTTCGCTCTTTGGCAGTGTGAAACACCGGCTCACGGGAAATGCCAAAAAGAACTGTGTGCTTTCGTTATAGATTTGAAGGCAAATACACAAAATGGGCAGAAATAGAGATAATAAATGATATTCTTCTGAATAATGCCATTCAAGACGCCAATTACTGTGAAAAGAAATATATAGGAATGGATATCTTAAACGTAAACACGTTTGACAGAACTCCGTCTGGTTGGGTCAAAAAGTTGAGAAATAGACTTTCACAAACCAAGTCCTAAACATTTAGTGGCCCGATGTTTCAATTGGTCGAGATCAATAGGTCAAAAGCCGCTTAGCCCTCGGCGTGTGTCAACGGACTAGGGCACTTAAGAAGAAGTGGGTGAAGCAAACGACACACCGTAGATAGAAAAGGAGCTGCTGCTCTCCACGTGCAAATAGTCGTGCACTTGCTTTGGGGCCTAATTTTACAACTCCGTGCTTTATCAGTTATGCGCGCTCTTACATTTTATTAGACTGCAGAACATCATCGCGAGGCTGCTATATATACTGCATAACTTTACAATTTGGAGATCCCCTTTTGCTATACTTTGTTTCAGCTTAAAGCGGCATTGCAAAGGAACGAAGAAAATCAAATGCTCCTTCGAACGGCGTGCCTATCAGTGTCAAACACGAATGTTCAGCGCCGCCATTGGTCTAGAACGTGGGATAATGATGACATAAAATTCTAGAGGTAGGACTGGCTGAATAGGCGCAAGGACCCCTTCTGATCCTTTCAAGCACGTGACTTTCACTCAAAATATTTGCTTGTAACACCTCGTAAATTGGTGGGGCGTTCACATCTTCATAACTGGATGTTAATTTCCAACATTTAGGAAGATCGCGTATGGTTGTTGCACGCTCTTGTCATTTCGGTTCTCTACTGGTTCAGACCAAGGACGTCATCAACAAAAGAAAAGTTGCTCAAAATTCTGAATCTCTTTAACCTATTATGTTCAAAATACGCTAGGTTTATTGTTTATTTTATGTTTAATCTGTTGCTAGGGCCCCAGTCACTAATTCGAGCGAAAGCAATGCAAATTTTAAAAAAAATGGCCAGAAACGCTTTGCATGGCCTTTTCAAGTACAGACGCAGCCTATGCCACAAGCGCGAGCCTTTGGTCCCGAGCACTCGCACTGCAGGAACGCGCGTGCTTGGACGCTGAAAGCCCAGAGTTCGCTTTTTTAGCTTCTGAAGTACTTATTACCACTCAGTCACACTGGAAGCGGATCCGCGTTCGCAACCGCTTTGCGAACGCGGTTGTAAAAAGATCCCGTACAATTGCACGCGTACTTGATGTCATCGAGTGCGCGTGCAATTGCACTGGATCTTTCTACAACCTCGTTCGCAACCGCTTTGGGAACGCGATCCGCTTCCAGTGTGAAGGAGCGGTTAAAGTGGAACGGAGTATTGTGTTGAGAACATCACATTTCTACAGAAAACTGCACTGTTTAACATGGTTCGCATTTTGGTCAGAAAATCAAATTCTGAGGTGCAAAATGCACACTGCAAAAGGTTCGCGCTCAGCGCAACACATGTATTCAGAAATTTTTCTTGCATGGCACAGCGTAGTGAAGGACGGCCCAAACGTCTGTCACCCCAAAAACGCGCTTTCTGAAAGGAGTGATTTCGCAAACGAAGTTGTTTTGCAGGATCACGCTGCCTGCTCTGCGCCGAAGATGCGGAGCAGTGGAACTTTCACAACACATTAGGTTTTTAACCCCCCCCCCCCCCCCCCCCCCATTTTTTTTTCTTCATTTGACGGTGCTCCTCTACAGAACACTTTTTAGTTTGAGAGACTCCCTCCTTTGTTTAGGGGTGCCGATTCGACAATTATATTTCTGTCATTGTTTGCAGTAATTCTCCGTTTCTTTTATTTTGCACCCAAAAACTGTGAACTTTAAACAAAACTGCGAGATTTTGAGCGACTGCCGACGTTTGGCTGTCACTCAAAAACCACTAGAATCTTTTTTTTTTTTCAGGTATCTCTGGAGTACACACTTGTAGTTCTATTTATCGTCAGATTAATAAGTCATATTTAGTTCTTTCAATCCTTTTATTCTCGGGGACAATTTTCGGAGACTGTTCACCAACAACGAAAACATGTCTTAGTGCCTCAATGATATGTAAATGTAAAATGATTCATGCAACAATTTTTGCACTTTCAGCAAATGCCGCTAAGAGGTAATCTCCGACGTTGATAGCTTGCAGAAACACCCATTAGTTTCCTTCTCTGCTCAATGGCAGACGCAGAAAAAAATAAAGGAAAGGACAGCTTTCCCTTTCTCAACTCGCAGCTCGAACAAGCGGCGATCTGATCTGAAGCTAATTGTATACCGCCAGTGTTCATCATAGTCATGCACTGGGGTTGACAAAAAATAAAGCATGGGTTGAGCTTTAGGCATTATTAGAGTTCAGCTATTCTTATCTTTGATTGAACACGAGTCAACACGAATGTTTGGCGATGATGATTGTCAAAAACACGAGCACTCGGTTCGGTCTCATGACAACCGAGTACGTCACGGTGTCGCGTTACTCGCAGTGAGAAGTCGTGATTGCATGTGACGTCAGGGTGTCAACAACGCTAATACACCTGTATTTCTTTGCAACTCAAGAAGGTAGGGCGGGGGAAAAGTTTGCCGGGGAGGAAAAAGTATAGGAAACGTTGGAGAAGAGAGGGGAAATTTACGTTCTGAATGTAAGTCGACTTGACGCGGTGAGTCATGCGACCACGCGACGGGACCGCGTGACGTGACATTATTTGACAGCATGTCTTGAAACCATGACGTGACGTGACCACGTGGCACACGATTAACCGTACTGCCAATACAAAAGCGCCACGAAAACCCGCAATTTCTTATACATTGCAGTTCGGTATATGACAATTTGATCACTACATAGAAATGCCAGCTGCCAATTTTTACTTCTCAAACACTCACTTTGTAATAAAAAAAATATTACCGTGAACCGTTTTGAACCGGTTACCGTAATATTTTTTTCCGGTTCAGTTTCGGTTTAGTTCCAAGATGGCGGCAAAGATTTCGGTTCGGTTCAGTTCCGGTTCGGCTAAAAATAACGGTTCTGTTCCGGTTTTCGGTTCGGTTCGGTTCCGGTTCGACACTCTGCTGAGGCCAGCGTTGTCAAAGCCAAAGCTGTATCGCTGTGGCGGCTGAGACATAGGAAACGAGAACACCAATTCCTCAATATCTGAACGTACTCTGACCTCATGCACAGATATGTATTGGTCTCTTTGGTTACAAGACACAAATACACAGAGACCAACAAAACCTTGGAAATTATACTGAGCAAAAATAATTAATTTATTGAAAGCTTAGAAAGGCCTGGCGACGGCATAGCTCAGGGGAGCGTGGTGGCCGTAGGCGAAGGGGGCAGCGTGAACAACTGGGGCACCATGGACAGCACGCACAGCCACTGGAGCGGCATGGAGAGCGCGAACGGCGACTGGGGCTGGATGAACAGCCTTCACAACGACGGGGTGTGGGCCCTCAACAGCGGAAGAGAAGAACGGAGCGTCGGCTGGGACCGAGGTCTTGGTGCCTGGCTCATTGGTCTCGACGGTGGGATGGAAGCCGGTGGCATCAGCAACGTACTTCACAACACGGGTAACACCGAAGGCATCAACGTAGCTGTAAGAGCCGACCTTGTTGTTGAAGGCATCGCCGGTTTCCTGGCGGGTCATGCGGGTGCCGAATCCATCAATGTTGTCGTAGCCGAAGCTGTAAGGCTGTGGTGGCTGGAATGTAAGAAATTTAAATAAAGAGGAGTGACAGATTTATATACTTGGGATAGTTTGTATGCGAAAATAAGAAAGCTCCATTATGCATGGAACCAGCTGAAAAGACAAACAAATCGCCCGCTGACTTACCACCTGAAGCTTGATAGAATAGCATCAAAAATTGCAAACCAAATACCCACAATATTTAGAATCACGAAGAAGTTTTAAACAACAACGGAAAGCCAACTTTGACCCATCCATAGCAATAAAGAAAGTGCTTAGGCATGTACCGTACTTGAACTCCGTTATATAAACAACTTACGAAATTTCCATCGTGTTTTGAATTCAGTAAAACCTGATGATTGCTCCATCATAAAATTTTAGCAAGTAACACCGACCATCACACAATGTCGCACCGAAGATGACGATATTACTGCGAAACACGTTATTTTAAGCTGTCGGTTATGCACGACCTGACTGAAGAGTGCACGACTTCGCATAAAATTACACTATATTGTATACCATGCCTACCCTCTACAACACGAACCGTTTGTTATGTATGATATATGTCCATTTCTTCAAACCTTTCTTTTGAAGTCCTTAATATTCACAATGTATATAGCAGGTTAGTACAATTTTTTCTTATACAAATTTAGTATTTTAAATCTTACTGTTAAGCGAGAATTATACCTGGATCGTCATAAGTTTACAGATTCACGCTAATATTGCATGGAGGATAAACAGTCGTCAATTCATCTTATCATTGCCATTGCATTATTCGCGTGGTGATTATCTCATTACTGATTACATTATAAAAATATGGCACTAGATAAGCATGAACAGTGTTTATTTGTTCGTAACGTGATTCTAAAACAGGTTAACGGTCAGTGGCACAGGACACTTACGTGTTCCACAAGAACGCCGCATGCGACGTAGGCGAAGAGGCAGCAGACAAGAGCCTAAGAGGGAAAAAAGTATTGTTAATCCTTGAAATGGGGGGTTTAAGCCAGGAGTTATTGATCGCGGAGTTAAGTGCCTGTGTTTAAATTTGAAAACCTGCCAGCGTCTACTATGAAAGTTGTTTTCGTACCTTTGAGAACATGATGGATACTTCTCTTGTTTCGAAGTGGAATCGGTGTTCAACTGGAAAGATGTGATGGCTTATATACCCGTCTTTGGAAATTCCAGACACACCCAAATAAGAGCTACCGAGCTCAAGAACCAGTCGTAAAATAGAAAAAAAATCTGTGATGATTATATCTTGACGTTCTAGAACGTGGGTGCACGTAAAGCAAAGGAATGCTGGTTGGAGACTTATTCACGTGTCCAGCGGACCTGAAGTAATGCACGCGATGAAGGTCCTAAACCTCCAACGGAGGGGCATCAACTCTCTAATTTAATGTTAATTTGAAGGGCAGTTTGAAGAATTATTGAGATGTCTATATATTTTGTCATTTCTTTACAACATAGTTTAATATACGGTAACATATTATATATAATGTTTGATATTTCCATGAGCTATATTTCCAATTATTTATGAACACTCAGACCAAAGTGATTAAACAAGCATTGATAGTGTCTGTTTCTATTGTTTTCAAATTTTAAAGTAAGCAAATCTTACACTGCTAAAAACAGTAATCATGGTAGTCCTGTTGATTTGTCCTACATTATATTTTGAAGTTCACAGGAAAAGGGGATGTCTGGGAACCAAGGAAACACAACGTCCTCACACCAAGGTGAGACAATTTTTGTGGTTTTTTTCCCGTTGTGATAGTAAAACGCAAGAAACTCAAGGACACCATCCCATGAAAGTTCTACTCATGGGACGGGTTAGGGTTTCTCAAATACAATATATCTTTAGGCTGAGCAATTATATCTGGCATTACTATACTACTAAGATTGTTTCTTCATGTTGAGTATATTGGTAAACTAGATATGCTATATAATTTGTGGACGTTGGCTGCACTTCGTCAAACATCTAACATGCATAAGGAGCAAAGTTACATAAATGTTTTAATGACTACATTAGCTCTGACATGACTTTGAAGCGTGCGTTCCGTGCATATTTCGCACGATAGACGATGAAGCAGAAAGCTCGGACTTCTCTCCTTTCTAAGGCCATAATAGAAGTAAGAAATTATTTAACCTATTTTTCTGGCAAGTTGTCTAGTTATCGTGTACATATAAATTCATTTTATAACCATCGAACCCATTCTTATCTGTAGATTCCCCCTATTTTAGCGCAGTCTTACTTATGACCATCTTTCCGATATTATTGCAGTGTGAAAGGGAAGTCGTGAAAGGGTAAAAAAATTAAAGACAACAAGAACATTATTCAAAATTCTGTTTAGATGACACAATATAAAAGGAAGGGTTTTTGTGACATTCAATATGGTGTTTGATGTAACTTTTTGTTGGGTGCATTGTAGTGTTCATTATTTCGTAATCGTCATCCCTATAAATCGGCGTGATTTTGTCATTGAGATTATCGCTAGCAACTACTCAAGATTTAAATCAAGCTTCTTTATTCTTACACTTTCTATGTTCTGGAACGCTTCCTTCTAAAAATGCGTATGTTGAAATATTCTGTTGATGCAACGGTTAATAGCCATCGTTAGCCAGACCATGTTATTCCTCCGTCAATGAATATAAACTCCGTGACACTCAATGAATGGTATTCGACTGTGGATCAAAGTTTAAAAAAAGTTGGTTCGAAAACAAGAAATGGACGCGATATATATCCGGAATGTCGTTTTTTTATATTATTGAAGCTTACAGAAATTGGGTACATTGAGCTCCCGTTGTGCACATGCCCATACCGTGCAGGTATTGATCAGTAGATTTTTTTCAGTGTAGATGACCTTCCAATCACAAATTTTAGGTTTTAGTTTTCATCTGTGACAGTTAAAGACATTGCCACTGTTGCAGGTCGGGATGAGCAATTAAAAATCCAGAATGGGAGTTTTCTTCAAAATGAAACCTGCAAGAAATTATTCTTGGTGTACTTTGCTCAGCATCACGGCAGAGCTATGAAAACGTGTAGCCATTAAACTGCATAATATTCCAGCTAAAATTTGGCACGCTAATATTTTAACGCCATCATTTAAATGTGTTATTTGTAAACTGTTGAAGTATGTCTATAAGCTCTGCTAAAACAATCAGGGGACTGATACATAATGGCCATAATTACTGCGACAAAATTTAAACTAAACTGGGTGCTTGTATATGTGATCATCTAATATTAAAATAAATTTTCAGGAACTCCAGCACCATTGATATTGTAGGCAGCCGTTAAAAAATGAAAAAATCGAATATAACAAAATGCTATGCATTCAAGTAATATATGATAAAGAAAAAGTTAAATTTTATTTACAAGTGCGTTCCTTACCCCTTTGATAAAGATGAGGTCACGATTATCCGCATTATATTCGCGCACAAATATAATATCACTTCAGCGAAAACTGAAAAGCAAAAGACATCTGGTATTCATTGCCGCTTCCAGCTTACATCCTTGGATGCACGCACATAGAAAGGAGTAAAAGAACAAGGGTCAGTTTCGCAACACTTGGATTGTACCATACATAAAAATCCACGTTAGCGCCACTACTACAATTTGTTGAGATTAAAGGCCGATGACCATACTCGAGATTCTGCAAGGCAGAAGATCCTCCTTACCATGGGGGGAGGAGGGAACAGGCAACTTTGGACGGGGTAGAAGCAGGGAGATTAGCAAGGGTGGGAAAAGTGGAAAGCGCGAACTGGTCGCCGGTCTTTAAGAGCAGTGCGAAAATATTTTAGGTGATGGGCATGATAAATTAGTTTTGGTTTTTTCTTGAATGAATTCCGGAAAACAGTTTTTTGAGCCTACTAAATATACCGCTAGCGAGAGAGTGATCCTACCCTTTAATTAAGACATTTTATATCCCTCACTCGCAAACTAAGTAGAAATATTGTTTTTTTGTATTACACCGCAAAATAACAAATGCAATTTTATAATGTGACCCGCTTATGCTCACTACTTTGTATGTTATTATATTGGTGCAGGTGATAAAAGTTACTCTACAGATGGCTCCAAACCGTTTCATACAAATGACGACCTTTCCCTAAACAAAACACAAGCATATTATACATGCTTTTCTATTAAGAGTTTACTTCGTGTGCTGTCAATAATAATAAAAAAAAACGCAGCAATAAGCCTAGGACCGAGGGTATAATCATGACTTGATCCTATATAGAAACTGAGAGGTTAAGAGACCCAAGCCACTGTGAGTTTGAAGCGTCGTTTATTCGCGTCACAGCCAATGCCATTGTGACATTAGTGGAGAAGAACACGGCGGAAAGATGCGCGAAGCAAGAAGTGTGGACATAGCCCCTTCCCGCAGTTTTTATCTTATTGTCGCTGACAGCTTAAAAACCCCAGAGCGTGGCAAGTTTTGGTCATCTTAGTTCGATCCGTAGTGAATGAGATGGCAGCATTTGGTTATAAGAATGGCGAAAAACAAATCACGACCGCGAAGAGAATAAGTCAGGCCCTGCGTTTCTTCAGCTGACAGTTTTTAGAGCAAACACATAGTAGAATATGTTTCCCGTGATTGAATCACAGAGGAACTGAGAGCCTAGAACCTCGGGCTTTGCGGGTCCCCAGTCTCTTATTCTTGTTCTGTAGTAAACAGGACGGCGGCTGCAGCCAATAAGAACGCCGAAGAACGACGAATCGTGAATCAGGAATTGAGTTTCTTATGACTACCGGAACCATAGCCACCCATAGCTTAACAAACAGAGATCATAGCGAGTTCAATACATATTTCGAGGTAGCACACGTCGTTCTGGCCAAAGTTGATCGTTTTGGTTTTTGTTTTTGTCTGAGAATTTAGGGTTTTAAAATGTCCGAAAAAGCAAATGTACTGTCAAAATTCACCTTCGCTGACCGGAGCGGATGGGTATCTTGGCCCTAATCAGCCAAAGAAATGCTAAGGCTAGGCCTCACTGTTGGTAGTTTGGATGTCATCTGGCATATGGAGGCCTAAATCGCCAATCAAATGCCATATTTATGCTTCACTCATAAATATTGTTTTCATGTAACAACGTTAGGACTAGGGATGCCGCGAACTTTTTTCGAATCGAAGTTTCGATGATCGAATCAAGCGGTTCGAAAGGTCGAAAGATTTCGATTTTTCGAATTGTCTATATCGTAAAATTCGACCGAGGTCGAATTTTCGAACTTGTTAAGCTAAGAAGTTCGACGTTTTTCGAACCGTCGAACTTATTACGCTAAAAAATTCGATCTTTTTCGAACTTTCGAATTTATTGCGCTGCAAGGTTCGATGCTTGTCGAACTTTCGAACTTGACTGACCAAAAAATTCGATGAATTTCGAACTTTCGAACTTATTTATCAAGAGAATTCGAAAAGTTTCGAACTTTTGAATTCTGAAAAGTCAGAAGTTCGACGACTTCAAACTTTTAGGGTAAAAGTTCGATGTTCGTCGAACTTCGAAAGACCGGCAGACGGTTTCATTTGATTTCAAGTAGTGGGGTACATTCGTAATTTTTTTTCTCGAACTTTTACACGCGGTGCTGCGTTCCTTACGAAAGACAATGTCGTTTATTTCAATGTTCTGGCATGCTTAGGTTTAAAGAAATAAATCCCCGAAGGGGCAAGGAAGGACGACGGGTTTTTGACGATTATCGTTTGTGCCAGATTTGAAGCGCGCT